TACTTGTATATAATTAAAATAGAATTTGAAAAGAATTTTTACAATTATAATATATTTTATTAAGATATATTATACTAGCTAAATTAAAATCTATAAAATGAAACTTATAAATAGACTATTTTAATAAACAACCAAAAATTGCAAATATAGCTAGCTGCACTTTTCAAATACTGTATATATTAATATTAATGCTAAAGTCATGATACAAATAATATTTAAAATAAATAAAACTAATAATTAAAAGATTAACTTAATATTAAATATAAATATTTTTTTACAAATTTTATATAAAATTATAATAAATTATTTTATTACTTTACAAGTATTATATTTTAAGCATTTTAAAATAGATTTATATCATTGTAAAGAAGTTTTTAGTTTCGCATCTTTTATCGGTTTTACTACTGTTAGCCAGTTCCATCGCCTTGTAAATGACAAAACCTATATGTTAGATATAAGTAATAAAAAGTAATATCATTGAGACATAGCATAGATCATTGATAAGTAAATGATTTATTCAATCTCACGAATAAACAACCAATCAGCATGTTAATATCTTAGTAAAAAATCACGTTATTTATTTTATGATTCGTCGTGACTCATACCAAAGCTGCTTACAAAAAATAAGTAATCCCAGCTTTAATAATTAAATTTAAATAGCGACAATTATACTAATATGAACATGGTATACGCTCATAGAAAGACTTTTATGATTGGCTGTTTAATCAATTCAATTTTACAATTTTAATACAGAATTAAAGTACTTTTTAAAAAAGATAACATTACAAAGAATAATAAAAAAGTATACAGAAAGTTTTTATTTATTTTAGAGAAGATAGCAAGATAACATAATAATAACCTAATTCAATCTGCGTGCATTTAGAAGTCACTATGATGATGCATTCTTTAAAACAGAAAGGAATACTACAAATATTCTTTGTAGATCTATTTTTTTTTAAAAAGTATTGTAAACTGTATAAATAATATAAATTAAATTGATTTAAACAGCCAATCGTATGATAGTTATTCTATGACGTATACGCTCATTTCCTCGAAAGCTATTTCTCCAACACGTCATTTACTCGACATCGCCAAGATGCCATTTTACATTTTATTAATTGTCAACCGGTGTAATGCCGGGGAAATAGTTTTTATTTCAACACTGTAAAGTACATTCGGTAGATAAATATCTTTATTTGTGATACTTCAATGATAATTTGATTGGTATAGCAAAATGGGCACAGAATTTTCTTGAATTTTGGAAATAGATAAGAAATTAGACATGCCGCAAAGCATATACCGAATTGATTAACCATTCGAGGTAAAATAAAATAAATAAATATACATGAAAGATGTCTATATTAAAATTTTGTAAAGAATTCTTGTTAGAACATAAATATATATTTATTTAAGCCAATTTTTGGAGATTGCCAGGATTTCTTTCTAAAGTTTTCATGGTGCATACCCCTGAAGATCATGTAATTATCGATTTAAATTTCAATCTTTGATATTGAATAGTAGAAAATAAAACTCAAAGTTAGTATTACTCTTAAAAAAAAAAAAAATTAATGACCATTGGTTGTATTCTGTAAATTATATTTTAATTCTAGATTGTATACGTCCTACAGTAATATGTCTAAAATAAGCGTACAAACCTCCCTAAATGCACTCTATCGGATCAAATCCTTGGTAATACGATTTAGAGAACAATAAAAAATTGAATTTAGGGAGGTTAAGTATATGTTTGGGCCAAAGTTTAAAGGTGCATTTATGGAGATAGTGCATTTATGGAGGGAGCATTTAGGGAGGATTCTCTGTACCTACATATGAATATACATATGTGTTTATGTAAATTATTAATGTACGTATGTAAATACACGCGTACGTACGTGCATACTGTACGTACATACAAACCAAAATATAATTATACTTCAGGATACTCTAATACCCGGTTAATTTAATTATCTGGTAACTGGTAACCAATTAAACACCTGGCTTAAGCGCAATCCATTATAATGTACACAAATCATGATCATAAATCGATTCTCCGCAGAATTTGCCATGAAACAATTTACGTACGTACTAATAAATAATACCGACATATAATTTTTAAATTGTTTATATTATGTAAATCCAAATTTTGAATAGTTTGACATGAATTTCAAATTAGACTTCAAATTGACTAAGAAAATTATTTCGAAATTTACAAAATAGGGATGAAATAATGTTCATCCTGTTTGTTAACACATATCATTATTATTATAATACAATGCTAGGTTAAATACATGTTAACTTATATTTTATTTTGAATTTTACACATTTTACTCTTATTTTACTCTTATCACAGAAATTATAGAGGTTGTTACAAGAAATCTCAATTTCATGCATTGAGCCGGATAACTCGTTGAAGCCAAGAGCAGGTAAGCTATTATGTGCACCAATCAGGAACGTAGCTTATAACTAACCAATAAAGGCGAACGATCACACATTAATCTAATTGTTTTATTTTGCGGATTATCATTACTAGGGTTATCAATTTAGAGAATTTTAAATAAACTGTATACAATTATACAATATTATTTGGATAGTGATCCTTAACGTTAATGTATGGTGTAACTCATAACGATAACGATAATATAAGTCGATCTCCTAATTTATACGTATCAATAACAGGAAAAATACATTAACGTCATCACATGATTTCCTTACAACTAATTGGTGCATCTTTTAGGTAACACAGATTGAAAATGTACTAGTATCATAACGTATAATGCAGTTGTCCTCCCATACAATTGCACAGTTGGGCACAGTAAATGCTTTTCTAAATGTGTTATGTGGGAGGTCATTTTCTTATAAATTAAATCATAGTTTGGTCTAAGCATAAATGTGATTACATACTATGCGATTATATGGATGGTGACTATATGGAGGGACAAATGTAGTTCCGAATAAAACCTCGGATGCAATTGTATTAGAATAGTATCATATAAGCATACGAAATCTGTGTATGCATACATACTCGCATATACGTACATGCATGCACATAATTGCTATATACATACGCACGTACGTACGTGCGTACTGTACGTACTGTACGTACGAACGAACGTACTGTACGTACGAACGAACGTACAAACGAACGTACGCACAAACCTATGCACGAACGTACGCACGAACCTACGCACGAACATAGTATTCCACAATACTTGGCAGTAAATTTGATTTATTCTCCTAAACTCGTACATAACTCCGTTATTTTTAATGGATAAAAATTTTGGAGAAATTGTAGCAATAAACAAACTTGGTAAATTTGGTAAATTTAGTAAACTTGGTCAATTCACTGAAAATGAACAAACATACTAATATTTAAGTTAGATATTGTGCTACTATATAGTACTATCATTATGGTATCAGACTAAAACTTATTAGTGCAACATTTATCATTATGTCATTAGACTAAACTTATAAATACAATATAAATTGTTCGTAATTTTGTTTTACATTACATAATACTTTATGTTAAGCAACCTCATAATACTTTATGTTAAACAACCTAAATTAATTTTTTTTAATATGATTTCCTAATCAATTTTTTATAGGTCCTTAGAATTAAAGTTTATTGAGGTCGAGACTTTTTTAAATTAATATTTATACAATCAATTTTGTTATTCATTTCGTTATTTGTTTTACTGCATTATTGATATGTAATGTGAAACTGTTTAAAAAAAAAAAAAGGAAATTAACATCTTCAATATCCAGTATTGATTTATAATAAATACTCAACGATAGGCATGAGAACACATTACAGAAAGATTTCTTTCTTTAATAGTATGCGCATAATTTACATGCAAATAATATAATCATAACTAAAAACAATAACTTTCATTATTCAAAAACATTCCAATTTTTTATGAATAAAAATGCCGGAAGAAAGACGTGAAAATGATTCAAATGAACCAACGGATACAAAAGGACGCGAAAATGATTCAAATCATTCACATGAACCAGCAGATGCAACTCATTATAAAGTTTTAGAACGAAGGATTGTTAGAAAATGTGACTGTTACATACTACGTATGTTTCATTTTATATAATTACCTCTTTTGTTCAAATATGCATATTACAACTTGTATGTTGAAATTATACTTATAGAAATTTTTTTAATTAGCTATATTGACCACAATATATTTATTGGGCATCGTTGATCGTAACAACATAGGAAATGCTCGTGTTGCAGGATTTAATCCTGAGTATTTGAATTCAACTGATCGAAATTATGATATTGCAATAGCAATGTACTTTGTTTCTTATATGATATTCGAAATCCCCTCAAACTTTGTAACTAAAATTTTGGGTTTTCAAGTTTGGATGCCTATAATAATGGTATGTTGGGCGGTTGCTTCTATGAGTCAAGCTGCATGTAAAAGCGCGCTTCAATTAGGGATAGCTAGATTTTTATTAGGTTAGTATTATAATTATATAATTTTCCATAATTTAGTGATTAATTTAAATAATAATAATATTATTATTATTATTATGATTATTATTACTATTACTATTATTATTATTATTATCGTTATTATCGTTATTATTATTTATGTCTTGTGACTCATTTTAATAAATTATTATAAATTATTAATATAGGATTGGCTGAAGCTGGATTTCCTCCATCTGTAGTAGCATATGTCGGCTTTTTTTATGCTAGAAAAGAGTTAACCTTAAGATTTTCTGTTTTTATGGCATTAATTACTATCTCTGGTGCACTTAGCGGAATAGTTGTAAGTTTTTTGAAGTTCTATCACGATTAACAAATTATCAAACGCACCAAATCACAATTAACCCATTTAAAATTTTTATTAATAAAATAATTATTTTCTATTAATAATTATTAGTCATATTTCGTAGTTCAAGTAGATGGGATTGCATTACATGGTTTCCAATTGTTATTTTTAATTGGTGGCATTCCAACTATAATTTTGGCTGTAGTTGTTGCTTTATTCATGACTAGTGGTCCTGCTGACGCTCGTTTTCTCACACCTGAGGAACGTAAATTTGCTCTTGATCGTTTAAGACCAGAAGGTGGTCCTGCCCCAGTAGATCGTGCAACTGCCAAAAAACAGATAAAACTTGCGTTCCAGGATATTAAAGTTTACATTTTCCTAATACTATTATTCCTTGCTTCAATACCATTCAATGCTCTTAATTTATTCCTTCCAACTTTAGTTAAGCAACTTGGTTATAGTAGTGTAAATGCTCAATTAATGAGTGTACCACCACTTCTTGTTGCAACTGTCTGGATGACCATTAATTCTTGGGCATCTGATAGATATGAAACAAGGGCTTGGAACATATTGGCTTCACATTCTTTGTCTATCATTGGATTGGTGGGAACTATGATTTCAAGCCCTGAATTATACACTTTCAGATATTTCTGCATGGTTCTTTTGGCATCTGGCGCGTACTCTGTATTACCAGTAATATATAGTTGGTTCGCCTGTAATATTGGTCAGTATATATTTATATATATATATATGAACTTCTGTTTTTTGTTAATATATGTTTAATAGTTTGTAATATTTTGAAAATTAATATTTTTTTTTGTAATATTTACTAATATCTAATATTCTTAATATTTTAAATCAAATTCAGTCGGTCAATATAAGCGCAATATAACTATTGCAGCAATATTAACCCTTGCCAATGCTGGAGGAATTGTTGGATCTTTAATCTACCCAGATACCGATGCACGCTATCAATATATTAAGGGAAATATTGTATGTTTGGCCGCCATACTCTTACAATGTCTTTTAACTATTGGATTGAAAATTTATTTGGAAATCATAAATAAGCAACGTGATTTGGCTACATTAACTGCTAAAAATTATAAAATTGATAATGAGTTAATGAAAAATAAAACGAAACTTAGTGAAGTGGCCAAGAAATTGGTTGAAAATGAACCAAGGTTTGATGAGATATTGTGTGACAGACATCCTAATTGGAGATATATCACATAATAAATTTGTTTGAAAATATGTATATAAGATTTATATATATAGGTTTTAAATTGGTTCGATTCTTTTCACAATATTAATCTGGTAGTTAATTAATCTAGTGGGTTTAATATAAAAAATTATGCCTACATAATATATATATATATAATATATATGTATGAGGTAAAAATTAGCAACATTTTTTCTTCCTGTCACTTATTTAATTTATCGCCTATTTAATTTAAAATCATTAACTTGTAATAAAATAATACACGAAAGACGCCAAAACTTTTTTGCATAATAACTTTTTTTTTCTTTTATTACAATTTCTTGATTTTTAACAAATTTAATCATTTCTTTTTAAACTTGAAATTTTTCTTTAATTTGTATACCAGATCCCATATGCTCTCTAATTAAAAAAATCTTTA